TATAGCTTTTAAGCAAAAGAGCGGGCTAAAAAGCACCTTCGATAACACTCTAGGGCAACCTTGAATTTTATGTGAGCCCTTCTGTATAGGTGCCATGATTTATGACCGCAAATCGGCGATTTCAGACCACAGTGCGTTGAGAAGAGTGATGCGGTTCATAGGTCGTCCGCAGGCAGACTTCTGTGCACCAGGGAAATCTGGTCCGGCCCTCGTTATTACTGCAAGAGCACGCCACCGGCTAGTGTGCAGCCCGCAGCGTGCGTCAGGGTCTATCCAGGACGTTGCTTATCACAATTGGAATCAACTGTTTTGAAACAGACAGCCGTCAGCTCCTAAAAACTTGGACTAGATAAAGCTTTCGGTTAAGTAACACAGGACAATCCATCAGAGACCGATATTTTGAACGCATAATCCCTTCCTCGCTGAAAACATGATCAACGGTATCCTAGTCTGAAAATGTCAGCTAAATAAAATATTTGATTTCGCGAGAGGTACTGGTGCAAAATGGGTTTAGTCCCTCTATGTATTACATCCACAAAAAAGTAGTCTCTACCCATTGTGGACTATCTAGAATCGCACGAAACGAATCGCGACACAAGGCCACGACCGCACGAAGCCGTTGTTGGAAAGGTCGCCATTTTTAATGACAACGCAAATGCTTGATGTTTTGTTTTGAAGAGAAAAGGGGAAGCCTCGAGAAACTACCATAATCTAGGACAAACTCCTTAGGAGGTCTCCTCCAAAAATAAAAGGAAATTTCTACTCCTCTGTTAAACACTTCCTTCGATTAGACGCTCACTAGGGTAGAGGACACAGTGATTGACCCTTTAAGCCAGGGGTCTCAAACTCGAGCCATGCGCCGAGCCGCGCTTGGGTAGGCCACCCGGTATATTGCCCCACCACCTACGCTTGGCAACGCTCGCTCGACTGGGCCGCATCGAGCCGGCCTCAGGCTGAGTGCCGCGCGGCCTCGCCACTTCTATACCACCGCGCTTCGTGCAACCGATAGCGGAGCGAAACGTTTCGTGGGTATAATTCGGGTCCGGCCAATGAAAGGAACACAAATCTTTTAGAACGTAGAGTGCGAAGCCGAAGTAAGAAGGATGCCCCGACGGCTGTCGGTCGGGGCCGCCCCTATTACTTTAGAAAAATTAAAATACACCATATGAATGCACTTACAAGGCACTATCCGGCCCTTTAGCAAACTTCGCGGGACCCACGGTGTCGGGCACAGCAGAAAATGCTATCCTCATCCTAAAAAAAACTGTTACGAGATGTATTGAGACGTTGATATCTTATTCGCCTCGACTTGCTATGCGTGGCGTTCGCGCGCGCACGATGCCCTCTAGCGGACTGACGCGAACTACTTCCCGCGCCGAACGCCGCGCCAGCCTGAACTGTAAAAAATAATCACGGTCGCCCATACGGAAATACCCTAACAGAAAACGACCACCCTCCGAAGTCCCATTTTTGAAGTCCCTCAGATGTCCCTTTTCGAAGTTCCCTGGAAGTTCCTAAAGGGAGCAAAAAAGGACTTAGGGATTTCATATTCCCTGGACGTTTGAAATCCCGCGGAAGTTCCGCCGACGCTCTGAACCAATCTTTGCTCCAGGCCGTTAGAGAGCTCTAACATGTCTTAAAATACTAAGAGTAGGTGCCCATATACATCTATATATAGTATAGATACAGGCCCTGTGATGTCGTGTGACGTGTTAAAAATTGCCTAGGAAGCCTCCTTCAATATGTTCTGTGAATGATGCAAAATGTAAAATCACCGAGCAAAGGGACTTCGGAGGGATTTCACTTAAAAGGGATTTCTGAGGAATTGCGATGCGCTTGAAATCCCGTTTTAGTCCCCGAAAAATTGAGGGACAACTTTGGAACATGAGAGGGACAAAGTAGGGACTTCGTTTTCTGTTAGGGTATGCCGTTTACTTAACCTACGGCGTCTCCGTACCTTGGATTTCGAACCCTCTTCCCATGTAAAAAAAAACGTGGGTACGGAGCCAGGGTACGGAAAGGTACGGAAAAAGTCCTGTTAACTTTGATCCGGGAGTCTTCGTCCTGAGTACGGAGTCTGTTAAGGCATTCCGTACCCCCTTCCCTCTGCTACACTCAGAAAATGGTAGTCTTGAATCAAGGCAAAATGCGTTGTTTCAACGCTATTTTTACCTCAAAAAAATACAAGGAAAATTGTCTTTAACTTAAGGCAAATGACTTTAAAATAATGTAAACATTTCCTTAGGCCAACTTAATTTCCTTGAAGTTAACGGAAAAACCTTAAACCAAGGTCGAAAATTACCTTGTATTTTTTTTAAAGAAAAATCCTTGGTTAAAGTATACTATTTTCTGGGTGTAGTCCATGCAAAAATCGTTGGTACAGTAGGCGCTCGCTATAGTTCCGCCTCGGGTTCAGAATTGGAGTGGGTGAGTGGGGTCGCCAGAGGCGGAAGCGTCTTCCCCCACTCCTTCTCTACCGCTCTCGCTCACACTGCTGGCCGGCTGGCAGCCCGGGGGGAAGGTGGTGGGGAGGAGGAAGAGAGGGGGGCCGCTTCTCGCTTGGAGTGGGGGAACCAGGCCTGGCGGGGAGGGAGCGCCGGCGGAACTATAGAGAGCGGAACTATAGCGAGCCCTCACTGTACGATGGCCATGCAAATCTCCAAACCGCTTTCGAAAATCACTCCCAAGAGTGAGGTACGGAACGCCGTGACAGGCTCCGCATCCAAGACTGATTTTTAGCCCACCCTTCTGCTTTTAAAAAAGCATTAAAGCGGGCTTATGCAACCGCTCTCGTGTCCGTCCGTCGTCCGTGTAAGAGTAAGGAGATGAGCTAGAGGTCTAAAAATTTCAGGGTATCTTAGGGGTCACTCCTGGACAACGAAACGCCTGGTGCAAATCCCGGCAACCACCCCTAAGGGGGTGAAAGGGGGTAACAAAGAAATAAACAAATTAAATAAATATGCGTCGCCGCTAACCTTCAGGTGCACTTTGAAGACGGCAGAATAACTTACGTTTACGGCTAGTCCTGACGTTGATCGCTCCGGCTGGGGTTTTTAAATCATTGCTCGTGCATCAAAGACTACGCCTGATTCATAATATCAGGCTTTCTTTTTCTAGCGTTGCTTAGATCACAGTTTTCACACTTCTCCAAAAATGCCTTCTGCTTGGCGTGGTCGTACCCAGGAAGGGGGCCGAGTGCTGTCACGTGCGAGGCTACGTACCGGTGAGGCACTCGG